TCATCGAGCAAAATTATCTCAAACTTATCTACCCGACTCGTGCAATGCATCGTGTACGATTTGTTCTTCATCTTTTTGTTTACAGAAATGTCTTCGCCCAGGGTTTGGTCCACTGGGCACATCAGAGTTTGGACATGTCTTTGAGTGCTCAGGTAGAGCAGAAAAGAGCTATATAAGAACCAGTCCATTTACCATTCCTTTTTGTTGTATCAGAAGAGTTATACACAGATGTTTCTCTAGATTCTTAATAGTATGATTAGCAAATCTAAACAGTGGAGACCTGACATTGTAAGTTAAAAGGTAAGACAAACCATCACTGTGGAAGTTTCCATTAAACTGTCAAGACTCATAAGAAATCCACAAGAAGCTAGCTGCCTACTGCTAGCGAGCATCATTATCTGAAACAACCCAATGTTATAGGTTGTGCATCCTGAAAATTGAACAGTATATGAAGTAACCCATATGTGAAAAACGGGATAATCTTACACAACCACAATGGCGCTCTGGGTTCAGCATCTTGCCCAAAGAGACGTCAGCATGTGACCTAAATGAGTGTGGTTCGACTCACTAACCTTCTGATTAGCAGAAGTTCCTGTGAACCACGTTATCCACAGCTTTTAATGTGAAGGATTTTTTTTGGTCCCAATTTTCACCCATATCACCTAATTTACAGGATCAGGATGGGACACGCAGTGATAACTAATGATGGATGTTGGACTGATGGGTAATTTTAACCTATAAACTGCAATTAGTGCAGACACCTTCATGAGAACATGCTCTCGTGTCACATAAAAATTGTGGGTTGGTTAAGGGAGAGGTTGTATGGATGCCATAGAGCGAGCAGCATGAGTGAAGGCGAAATAAAAACAACCATCATCAGCGCTATAAAACCTGCCCAGCTGCAGTCTTTGATCCTCCCCTCCAGCTCCCCTGCACACACAGAGCCACACGCACAGCCCCGCTGCTCACACACGCCACGCCTGGCCACACATCGCTCACACAGCGAATCTCACTTCCCATCAGCTGTAGGCAGAAGCGGCAAACAGATTTGTTTGTTTTCTCTCTGAAGGAATGGCTTCATTTTAATCAATGAGCAGTGATGTTATGCCGTCGGGGCAGCGCAGAGCATGAGCGCGTCTTTATTTTAGTTATCACTTATGGTTATAGCTAACCTTTCAAAGATCATTAGCAAAATGCCAAGGACTGAACAGATGTGGGCGTTTCATGTCATTTACTCTTAAGGTTTCATATGCAACTGGATGTCTCCTGAAGCCTGTGCCTAAAACGGTCAATTCAATTAGAGCTACAATGAGGGATCATTTTCACCAACAACTATTCTACTGATTTAATAAAAGACATCTGTGAAAACATCTCATCGGTTTTACAAATCTATAAATGTCTTTGTCTCTGTGTGTCAAACAGCTCAAAATACCCAAAAGACATTTGAACCACAGACTTCTAGAACAAAAAGCATTTCCACCCATTCCCTTAAAAACAAAACACAGTTCTGGCAATGCGTTCACCGCTTTAATAAACTGGGTGCCTGCTGCATCTTTGTTAAGACAAAATCATTAGAAAAAGGTTATCATTCATTTTTTTGTCCTTTCCACACTAACCTTGAGTGCACACAGAGGAAGTAAATGTTGGTAACGATCGGTAATCCGTCTTGTGAATTTCTCTTTGATAAATCAAACCCAGGTTTTCATAGGATGCCAGCAGCCCAGCATGTGCACATTAGGACACAGGTAATGGTGGAATTCCTTAGCAGCATAAGATGGCTGCCATAGTTCTTCCTG